TGATACTTTGACATTTTGTACTGAAGTTATAGGCAATAACATCAGCCAGGATCTTGCCTTTTATTTGCTTTTTCAGTGAGTCAAGCAATATCAATCAATCACAGAACAGGAAACACAATCCATCTAAGAAAATACCTTGAATGTCTTTCACACCCTTAACAAATCCCACAGGGGAACCCTTTAACCTTTGTGACTTTACTTCTTCATCTCATTCCAGTGAATCCTGACAGTACGTCATCCATCAGTAACAAGGAACAATAAAGCATGCATGGAACTAGATACTTATCTCAGTCTAATCCCTAAGTCTATAGAAATATATAAATATAAATCACTATAATGTGCGCACTGGTTTGTCTACAGGACTGTAACAGAGTACAGTCCATTTCCATTATACTAACATGTATAATAATTATTTTTAGAAATTTCAAAAAACAAATGTTAGTCATAGAGGATTCACAAAAAAAAGCCTGCCTTGTGATTGCAGCCGAGCACATTGCTTTTTATAGCAACTTGACCTCACACGCTGAGGACTCTGAATTAAATACTTGCAAGTAAACAAAAAATAACTTTTGTCCATGCAGGTGATGTATGCTGCCTTGCTCAAGGACTCTCAAAGTAAGCAAAAGTAGCCACGCTGTCATTGTGGGAGATTGAACCAACTACGTTTTAGCCCGAGGGCCATGCGAGTGCTGGAAATATGTTTCAATTTTGACAGGTCAATCAGTCACCACATGAGCAAGTGCTGTGTTTCCAGTGTTGTACACAGGCCTAATATGTCACGTATGAAAAGGTCATATTTTAAGTAACTGTAAAAAATTTAAAATTGAGTTTACTGACTCCCTGTGTTTTTTTTTTTTTTTAAATCAAACTGTGAGGATAGGAAAATGGGAAATGCACAGCTTATACAGCACATAAATGATGTGATGCAAGCTGAGGGTAAAGAGTTTCACATTACCAAGAGCCTCCTTGGGCAGAATCCTAAACCACTCTTGCTTGGTTTCGAAATGTACAGTCTGCTTACTAAAGCGCCGGGTTGCAACTCCGCAGTGCTTCCCCTACTGTAAGCCTCTGAAAAATGAGTTGATTTGTTGTGTTGTGTTGCACACACGCCAGGTTGTATTTCAGTTGGAATTTTTTATTGTTACATGGAAGCCACAAGGGGAGGGGCAATGGCTTGTTGATTTCGGGGCAAACGAGGGTCAGCAGAAAAGAACCCTGTTGTTGCAGTGTTCCCCATCACCCTGAATGACATGTGGAGAGATGCAGCTTCTCGCACAGGGCATCTCGCTGCGTACATGGAGCAGTGGCCTAGTTTGTGACAGGATCAGGGCATTACTCTTAATCCACCAGATAGATATCATATGCACGCACGCGCACACAAACACTCTGGGAAACAAAAATGGTGGCAAGGGATGGGCTGGAGAGTAAAAGAGGGAGAATTTGAAAAAAGAAAAAGAAACAAAAAAAACTGCATTCACACGTGCGAAGCTCAGCGCGCTGCTTGCACTATGCCAGCACTTCTCTGCAGAATGCACATATGGTGAAGTCATGCAAGGATTCCAACTATGCACATGGGATGTTGTTCCATTTGATTGCATTTTAATACCCTCAGTCTACCAGTGTGTACATGAGTGTATCACATCTGTGTTGATGTTGTAAAGTTTGACAAAAACTTATGCCAGAGAAACAGACGGATAACTCTAAAATTTTCCGCTATTTTGGCAAAACTCTTATACTTTAAATGTGTACCATTCATTCAACATTAAGTTTAAGTGAAGATAAGCACAAGTGAAAGCAATTTTATAGAGTGCATTTAACATTTCAAAACATGTAGACACGTGACAAGCAGCAAAGATGTCAGTGTCCCGGCAGCCTCTGTTTGAATTTTCAACGTTCAAATCTCTGAATCCCTCCTGTTGATATTAAAAGAGGCACCGAACGTCATACACAATGAGATAAAAAGAGAAAAGAACAGCCCTTCCTCCCTTTTCCCCCCTCAAGCCCTCTGTCCCTCCTTTCTCGCCAGATTATATGGATGTGCCGAGAAGAGGCAGAAAGCGAGCAAGAAAAGAGCAATGAAGAAAGTCACAGTGAACGAGACAAGGGCAGGGGAAAAAGGAAAAAATACAGACAGAGCATGAATCCTTTCCACCCTTGTTGCATCTGTGCTGCTCCCCTAACCCTCATAGAGGACGTCTGGGAGCATCATCGTTTTGATGGATGACTGGGCCTTTACTGGCCAACCCTCAAACTTACACATGGGACGCGAGGGCAGGAGGCTGAAAGGAAAACAAGAATGGTTTGTGGATGTGTACTTTTAAACAATGAATGACGGAAATGGCTACCTCAAGCCTATACTTGCGTGCCATTACAGTAGCCTAGTGCATATGTATGACTCCTTTACAGGGCGGCGATGATGTATGTTCAACGTTGTGCAACCACAAGCCTGAAACTACACTGCACTTTCCCTCCAACAAGCAGGCTATGCTGTGCATGTTTCACCTACCTTATTTTACAAATATTCTCATCATACACTAATAGAATTTTTAAAGCAAATATGCAAATCAAAATTTTACTGGATACTCAAGCGATCAATAGATGTCAACAGAGCTTGACTGTCTGCCCCCTCTCACTCTTACAGTATTCCCTTTCTGACTTTTCCAGCTTCCAGTCCTCCCACGTCGCTTTTCTGTTTCATACCTTTCATGCTTAGTCTCAACCTAAATCATCACCACTGTAACACAATTCAAATCCCAACTGCAAATCATCAAGATGATAAATTGAGAGAGAAGACTTTTTTTCTTAAACAGACAGAAATTCTTGTTAAGTATGTTTCCAAGCACACACGTATCCCAGTAATGATCAGGTTTTTGGAATATCTCCTTAATGAATTAGCTTGTCATATTCTGGTTTCAGAAACCCAAATAAGCTCTTATCTATAGGATTTGAGGAAGCTGGGGTACTTATAATGGCAATTACAATTTTGAAAGCATCTTTGGCGCGTAAAGACTTAGTCATGTTCTGATCATCGTCAGCAGCTGTGTGTAAGGTGCATCTTCAACCGGAGTCATGGGTTGTCAGTCAGAGGTCTGAAAAAAATATGATTAGCAGTGTGGTGATAAATTGACTGCCGCCTGATGCCTGATGCTGTTGTCTTCCATTAAGATGGGTGATAAGAGGAAAAGGTCAAAGCCAGCAGAACTCAGAAAGTGCGTCACTGTCCAGAAATCCAGACCGTTAAGTGAGTTAAGTCAGTTATTGTAGAAAAAAGATGTCTAGTTCATTTGGGGTTTTGAAGTAGGGTTGTATGAGGTACTTATCCATTGATAATAATATCAATATCGAAAATATATATATCCACTATACATACATATATATATCCACAATGTTGTACCTACAGTAGATGGTGGTCTGCACAACTGCAGTTGGAGAGGCAGAACGGAGCACCGGGACAGAGGAATAGGTTGATTAATTAGTTTGGTGTTTTAATACGCTGGTTAGGATCCAATCTAACATGTTAAAACAGAAAAGTCACACAATAACACAAACTAATCAATTGTAGCAGTGGTAGAGCAGCAACCACTGTGTTCTGGGAGGTATTGTTTTTACCAAAGCGGTCTAGTGGCTGGAGAGAGCAATATAAAAGCAATACAACGGCTTCATTGAGATATTCTTAATATAGTGTATACTTAGAGTGACATAGGTATGTGTTTTAATGGCCATTTTTCTAGGTAGCTTAAATATATTTTTCTGGTGACAGAATATTTGCAAGTGTTTTTTTTTTTTTGCAGAAATTTGCCTGTTTTTGTAATTTTTTTTTATTATTGTTTGTGTTTTTTTATTGAACAAATGCCAAAAATTCAAAATTTCCACCCTTCACTGAGCTAATATGCCTTACATGATAGTAAACGGAATATTTTTAGCTTTTGGAATGTTGGTTCAACATGGCAGCGTTTTGAGGACATGGCATTAGTCTCTGCGAAAATCTGACCTTTTATAGACGAAACAAATAATCAGGAAAGCAATCAATACGGTAATTTGCTTTCCTGATGAAAATAATTATTATTTGCAGCCGTAATTGTAAGCAGGATACAACTCATGACCAGTATACTAATGTGCATGTAAACTTACTTGAGAAATACATCTGACAAGGATGGGACGATGTTACGAGGGTTCACACACACAGACACGCATAGGCACATGGTACAAACACAATCACACAAGCAGTAGGGAAATTATCTGATTTGCCATATGTGGTCTGTCTATCCATGCCAAGTAATACTGGGATGGACAAAAACAGCTGGCCCCATATCAAACCTTCTACCAAACAGACACTCATACAGACACACTGACGAACACACACAATCATACGTAGTCGTAGTGTTGTGATATCTGGAGTGGATTGTAAAACAAAATCAGGCCACAGTATGTGTCTTCAAAAGATAGGTGAGCGGATATTTTATTTAATCGTTTTTCTTAATGCATGTATTGTATATAGTACTGTCAAAAAGCATATGAAATGTAGAAGCTTTCAAAAACAATCAGTTTTTATTTATCAGTTTGCTTCATATAAAGTAAAGTAAACACTAAAAACCTACATCTGTACAATATTTGATGTTTCCATGCTCTAAAACAGCCCCATCTCCTCTCTGGGCACAATTTTTTCATGCTACTTGACAAGTCAGTTGTTCCATGTATCTTGCAGAACTTTCCACAGCGCTTCTGTGGATTTAGGCTGCCTCAATTGCTTCTGTCTGTTCATGCAATCTCAGACTGACTAACTGATACTGAGATTAGGTCACAAAACCATCTGTTGCAGGCTACCTCGTTCTTCTTGTCACTGAAGATATTGTTTCTGGTCACTGTTGTGTGGCACAATGAAGTGCCTCAAGCTTTTCCACAGTGCTGCATGTGGGTGAGTAGGTGTGTTTGTGTGTGTGTGTGTGTGTGTGTGTGTGTGTGAGATCATACGTAAATGGAAAAAGTGTGAAAGGACTCACAGTCAGCATCAGCTAAGAAGAGGAAGCTGAGGAGGAGTAGGCCTGGACTGGCAGAGTTCATCATGGGATATGTCGACACATGCATGCTGTATCCACCGTGAGCTCACTGCCTCACTGTATGACAGGACGATAGAAACAGGCCCTCACAACCTGGGGAGAGAAGCAGGGAGTGCAAGGAGAGGAAGAAAAAGAAAATGCAATCATTAGAGAAAAGTCCAAATTAAGAGAATTTCAGACATCATATAGTCTGTGAGCACACACACAGACAGACACACGTGCGCACACACACACACACACACACACACACACACACACACACACA